CAGGTTGAACACGTTTCCACAGGCTTTACTGATGGCAGTCATCTTGGCGATGATTGGTAGGTTGTGGATGACAAAGGCCACCTCGTTCCGTTGCTGTGCTGCCAGGTTGTTGGCGTGCCCCAGCAACCCGAAACCTGTCACATCTGTTGCAGCGTGGGCCTGGAACTTGTGCATTAGGCCTGCCGCTGGAGACAACAACATGGACTAACTTTATGATCACAGAACATTTTGAGGGGGAACAAATCTATACAGTAGACACAGGCCAATTCATGTTCAATTCAAGAGATTTTAAAGATTGTAATTGAAATGGTAAATACATCAGTGATGACTGCAGAGGTCAAAGACATAATGACCATAATGACACAATGTACCTGTGCGGTTTAGTGTTGCCATGGAGAACATGGCTTCCTGATAGGCCTCTTTAACTTCCTCTTTGGTGACAACTAGCTTGATCTTGTTCCACCTTTCAGGCTGGAAAGACGAATAAAAGAAACAAAGATAGGGAAGTGCACATGACAGGGGAGGAACATGTCAGTATACAATGACAACACTCATGTAACATTCAGTGTGAGCAGAGTTGAGCGGCTGACCTGATCGAGCCACTGGTGAGCGTTCACAGCCACCTGCGTCCCCAGAGGTTTAGTGAGAACCAAGACGTCGCCTGGTACAGCTCCATCCGGCCTGAAAAAACACAAACACAGAACAAAAATATGTCACCACACACCCCAACTTTGTAGACCACGTCCTTTTGAAGAATGCGGCCCCTTAACTCGGACACATTCATTTCAAGCAATGCACTCGTTATAAATATTTTTGGTACCTGTGAGTTTTTTGCTACATGAGATCAGACAGACATGCAGCCACAAGATGAGCTGAGCTTTGTGTTGAGGCTGTGGCAGCTGTCAACAACACAATCAACAAACCAGAATGCTATAAATACTTCTACACAACCCATGCTGGCTGAAATTATCATGGTCCAGTATATTCTGGAAGGGGCTGATGAAATGCACTCTGGGAAATCTCAGAGGTTTCTAACTGAAGTTGGATTGCATGATGTGGGTATGTCCTTTCCATGAATATTATCTAATCCACAATGTAAAAGTGCACCTGACAAAGAGCCGTACAGTTTTGACGGACTCACATGATGAACTCGTTGGGCTGGCAGACCACTGATGCCACTCCTCCTACGATGATCCAGGGGTTGATCACAGTCTGGCCGCCTGTCACTGAAGTCCCTCCCTCCTCTGCTGCGTCTCGAAACCCTTGAATGATCAGCGGCATGACCCGCTCACGGTCCTGTGTCATACACACACATACAGACAGGAATGGCATGAGACATTAGTTCACCTCAGAGAGATCAATATATAGACATGTAAGACAAGTGGAGGATATACGTCAATAGATAACAGTAAAGTCAACATCTTGGCGTCCACCTGTGAACACACATCATGCTACCTTGTCATTCATCTTCTGGCTGACACTCAGCAGCATCAGCATGTTGTCACACTCTGTGATGCCCATGGCGTAGAGATCACTGAGGACGTTAGCACATGCTATCCTGCCCTGAGAGACGGACAGAGAAACACAGAGAAGTCAGGGATATAAGTCACTTACAAACGTATCTCAAACATGATTATTTTTAACAAAGTAGATTTAGGTTGGAACTTAATTTCACTGCATCAGCTCCTGGATAACATTCAGCTTCAAAATGGCTTTTTCTCCCTTTCAACTATTGTCTTTGTAGCTTTGACACAGGATCAGGCGTTTGTTTTTTGATTTAATTGAAAACAGGAAAGTGACTGTATTTTTTCCTGTTTTTCTCCTGAGGTGGTTAATGTGAGGCACAACAAACTCCCCCAGAAACTCCTACTCAATTTCTGCCGCCTCACAATAGAAAGTGTCCTGACATACTGCTGCACAGTCCGGTACTCTAGCTGCACTGCAGAAGAGAGGAAAGACCTACAGAGAGTGGTGAAGACGGCTTAGTGGGCTGTCAGCTCCCCACTTCCAAACCTAAGTGCCATACACTCAGACCATATTCACAGTATCAGACAACATCAGAAGAGACCCTTCACACCCTGGTCACTGCCTGTTCACCACCCTCCCCTCTGACAGGCTTAAGGTTATCAGGGCAGTGACCAACTGACTGAAAAACATCATCTTCCCTAGAGCTATGGAAGAGCTGCTGAACTCATAAGAGAAGTGCGATTACTAACTGTACAATATAACCTATTTTTAGTTAACAAATACATTTTATGCATAACATTTATTATTTTATTCTCCTTTTACTATTTATTTGATTTTTATAAGCAGCTAAGCATAATGGATTACTGCCAAACTGAATTTTGCTGTGTTTTAATATGCAATGACAAAAAGAATCTATCTAATAAACAACTAGAATTGCCATCTCATGGTTGTATACCACCACCGCCAAGTGTCAGGAAATGTGGTCATAACCTCCTCTTCCTGAGTTAGAGCGTTGAATAATGAACTGAGGTGTTTTTGCAGAACATTGTGAAGTCACGGTGACCTTGACCACCAAAATCAAGTCAGTTCGTCCTTGAGTCTGAGTTAATGGTTGTGCCAAATTTGAAGAAATTCCCTCAAGATGTTACTGAGATATCGCATACACAAGAACTACATGGTCAACCTGAAAACATCAAGCCTCCAGCCCTGGCTGTCTGCTGTGCAGAGGAATAACAACACAAAAACACAAGCCTTATTTCTGTTTTGTGGATTTTGGACTTTTGTCAGGGTGTGTCTGTGCAGTGATTAAATGAAAAGTGCATGCACCCTTGAGGGAGCATGAAAACTCAAAGAGAAATTTAGAACTCAATTTGAAAAACTTCTAAGCAACAGCTACATCAATAACAGATCAAACCTTCACTGTCAGGTTCTTCAGTGATGACAGACTGACTGTACACTGTTTTATGAATGTAAGAGTGACCAGGCACAATATTACACTAATGTAAACCGTGTCAAGTATGCAGCATGACGGCCACTTGCACATCCCCAGAAGAAGTGATTGTTTAAGTTACACAAGTACCCAAGTGTAACCATGTGTCTGTTGTGGTGTTTTTGTATTTTCCCTCACACTTAACTGGATGAGTACATCCCCACAATTCCACAAATATTTCTGGGTTTGGTCAGCCTTACTTCCTGGATAGTTTCCCAATGAACAGTGGCAGGATGCCCAAGTATGTGAGAGCTTCACAGACCGAAAACACCTGCCAGTAACTTACCATCATGTAGGGGTCCTCTACAAGAGGGTAGAAGAAGTCTGTGGTCTGGACCAGTGAGAGTCCTCCATGTCTCAGGGGAATCACACAGCAGTCCATCCCCACACCTACAGACACACCATAATGAGGAGCGAAGGACATGTGCGCAATATTTGGCTATGGGATACAGTAGTCTTGCAATAAATATAAACTTGTTTAAAGTGTTCAATTCTTGTTGAGAGTAAGAATATAACTTTAGCAGTTTGTGTGTGTACTTATGTTGCTTAATAGTTAGTATTTCTTACAGGACTGTTACATGGGATTGCATTATCGCACGAGCAGTACAGAGGTTTGTCACACAGTATTACTACATACTTCACTTTCCGCACAGTACAGATTGCTACATCCCTAAAGAGATAAAACGAAGAGCAGTGTTTCCACTCAAGGTTGCGAAACAGCTTTACTAGAAGAAATATTTAATCACGAAGGTGAACTTTGCTCTCAAAGCATCCGAATTATTTCTGCTGAATCATACCTACACTTTGGTAATCCGACAACTCACGGAACTTGTGCTCTCTTCCTGAGCTAGCTATAATCTATTATACACATTTAGGATGTGGCATAGTTAGAACTTAAACATGTATGTAGTTTGTATGTTAACAATTTCGAGAGCTGGTGAAAAAAACAAGTTGTTTTTATTCCCTTATACCTGTCCATCTGTCAAATGAGCTGCAATATCACTTAACACAAGCTAGCATGGTTAGCAACAGTTTCGCTAGCTAACCAACGCTAACCAGCGGGATCTCTGACATGTTTGGGGCATGACGGTTAGCTCTGCTAACTCCGAGTTTGTTCCTTACCGAGTCGGGGGCCGGGCAACTGTTGGCCGAACTCCGATGTTTGGTCTCCGGCCTTCCCTGTCCCGTCGGCCCGGTCCGGCTCCAGTCCCGCCAGGAGTTTGAGCAGAGCCTCCTGCGGGACCTTGCAGCCTCATCCCTTCAGGTCCGAGAACGCTGTGAGACGGAACCCGCGCTCCAGGCCGTGCTCCTCGGGTTTGAAAGGTTTGTATCCAGGGGGAAAACACCCCTCGGTTCGCACTGCCTCCGCCGTAGGAGGCGGGGAAGTTGAGCCTGACATGCCTGCCTGTAGACCACTTCAACAACACGACGCCAGTCGCGTACACCGGTAAATAAAGACGCAAGGATGAATGGAGCGTGTGTCCGCGAGCGCTACGTAACGAGATTGCTGTCAAGGTAACCAAAATAAAACGAGTTCGACTTCCTGTCGGAACTTTCAGCGCAAAAATTCATAGTGCACGAGATGCACATATCCTCAACTACACACTTACACCAAATGACTTGGACATTCACATTGGTTTACTACTGTATTGGAAAAATGTAATTTTAACCCAAAGCGAAGGCATATACGCCAGAGGTGTGGTAGCAAACGTCTTATTTTGAAGGCGTAATTGATTAATTTGGTCTCTCCCTCTCGTTGTTCAACTTGACGCAGCACAGGACAGTTGTACGTCACTATGTACTCTCATTGTAAGGTGTAATCACTGCTGTATTTTTTATTTCATTTTATTTTATATATTTTGTCCATATCTCTATTATAAATCTTAATCCGGAAGTTTTGATTGATTGTTTCTTCCATTTTCAATGTTTTAATAACATTAAATGCAAAATGTTCTGAATAATAAAGTCTTTGTAACTACATTAAATATTGTTCTCTCCACATGTACTACTCTCAGGACACACATGACAGAACACACATAAAGGGCAAATGAGTAACTGATTTATTTCATAAATCATTAACAATTTCAAACCATATTCTTTGCACCGAATGATCTCCAATTACAGACGATATTCACACAAACTGTGAACTAACTTCAATGTGCTTACATTCAGAAAGATAAATAGCTAGGAGCCACAGGTAAAGATCAGACAGAATCAGGGCCACAGGGGGGGCTGTGTTGGGTTATGGGTCAGGTCTATCATCAGAGATAATAAAGCAGTGGTGCAGTCAAAGGTGTACACAGGCACAGAACACAGAGAATGGCTACTTTTTCAACAAGAGTAAATCCATCTCTAATACGTAATAATACATGTTTTGAGGTAATGTAGACAAGCAACATTTATGACCAAAACATATTTAAATATAATTTATTATTTAAAGCTCACTAGGTTATTCACATTGTCATGTGTTTTAAGTAAGAGAAGTACCCCGTTTTTGACATGTCATCACTTTAGGACCAATGATTACCGATGTGTACAACATGGATGATGCTTAGTCCCCAGTATGTAGTCACCTCCTCAGCTGCCAGCATGCCACTGGAGTGAAGAGAGACTAGAAATGGGACTGAGGCAAGAAAACAGGGGCTCATGTACAAATACTGGTGGAGGTGCATCAGTGTGCCAGAGGTAAGGCACGGGAAGAGGGGAAATGAAAGAAACGGGGGCTGGGAGACAAAAAGGATGACGAGAAGAGGATTGGTTTGCGGAATGGAAAAGCTACAGCAGAAACCAAATCCATGGAGCAGTTCTAGGAAAATACCGTGCTGATTATCTTGCTGTTGTTCTCGTCTTGCACTTGTTTATACTGTTATCTGATTGCCACTTGTTTTGATTCCAACATATTCAACTTTTAAAATGGTGAATGTATTTATCTTTGTGTGTGTGTGAGAGAGTAAGGTGCAACAACCAAATACGTTTTTCTAGGCTGTGCCCGGAGCTGGCAGCAGACACGCTGAATTTCAAAAACGTAAATATACTGTGTATATGTCTGCATGTGTGTGTTGGCGTCATGGTGTGCTGAACTATGCTCATGTTACTGTATACAGTCCATGACATGTATCTGCAGTGTGTCCATATCTGGAGCCTGGTACTGGCACTTTGGACAACATAAATCTGGCAGCTCCTCAGCTCCAGCTGCTCCTTGATCACCGACTGGTACCAAACCCTGATTGCGGAATGAGGGGGCAGGGGGCACTGTGTTAAAAGCTGGCCCGGGGAACACACCTAAAGGCAAAAGAGAAAGAAAAGATGAGAAAAAAAATGGAAAGAATACATTTATAAATACATTCAAAATGAAAGTGATTACATTTAAATGCTGTACTAAAGTACAATTTTTAGGTATTTGTACTTTATTTGTGTTTCAATTTTCTGTTACTTCATACTTCTACTCCACTACATTTATTTACAAAACATATCACAAGTCTATTAATATATGAATGAATGAAATCAAATGTATAAAATAAAATGTATTTTGTCCCCCAGAGTGGACACATCAATAACTGACTTTAATTCATTAAAGACTTTATTTAAACAAAAAAAAATTGTATTACTTCAAATCTATTTGTATGTTATTTTGAATATGTACATTTGTGTGTGTTGGTTGTAATGTACCTTGTGGAGGAGGAATGAGCGGGGCCCGTGGTGGAAAGTCCTCCATGTGCCTCATCTTCATTTGCTCCATACGTGCGCTACAGAGGTGAACACAGACAACTTTCATGGTTAATCACAGTTCAACAAATGCCTAGAAACATCAGTATTTAAAATATATGACTTCTGATATGACATATCGGTGCCAACAGCCCTGCATCTGAGCTCTGCAGCTGTAATAAAACTGAAGTCACATCAACATACTAATGCAGCATCTAATCAGCAGTTGAGATCTGTCTCTTTAGCATCCTCAGCAGGGAGAGAAATTCAGTAATCACTGGTCTATGTAACTCAGAAATCATGTAATCAGAAATGATCTTTATCTAAACTTCACTCCAAAAAGCAAACTGGAGCACACAGCAAGACGGACTGATGTGTCTGACCTCCCATACTCACATACAGGGAACAAATAATTATCGTAATAGAAGTACTGAAATGTCCATGTGTTATGCAGTTTTTTCCCCTTGTTTACCGTGATGCAGCATCCTGTTTGAGCCTTTCAATCTCAGCCTGGGCCTGATTCAGTTGATCTTGCAGCTCCTCCTTCTTCTGGTTCAACTTCTCTCTTGCTTCTCGCTCTGCCAGGAAATCTGCCTTGTAGATCTCAGCCTGAGCAAACACAGTGAGAGAGGGGAGGTTTTATTCACTCTCGAAGGCCAAGTAAGCAAGGGGGTGGTGTTGCTACTATTCTTTCAAATCATTTCCTTTGCTCCAAGGTTGACCTTGGTCATTTTTCCTCCTTTGAATATGTAGCTGTATCACTCTGAAGTTCTAATTAAACTATTCTATGGGTTGGGAACCATTGCCCTACAGTTTTTAAATCTTATCGACTTTCCAATTTTATTCAACATGCTAAGAAAGCATTACACACACATGGCCACACCCTCGACTTTTATCAAAGGATATAGGCCTAGAAGCTGCTGCTATATGACTTGGTCATCTCCGATCATTATTGTGTGCCTCCAATGTATGGTTGGTGTGTGGATGTGCGTGTATGGTAGAAAAGTGCTATTATGTGTTGGGAAAAGCACTGTGTGAATGTGACTTCCACATTATAAAGTGCTTTGAATGGTTGAGAAGACTAGGAGATATAAGGGCAGTCCATTTACAATTTAAAATGTGATAACCCAGACAGCAGAAATGGGAGCTATTAACCTTATAAATAGTTCTTACACAGGTCCACTGTTGCACTGAACTGAATGTAGCAGGTCAAACCTGCAGCAGACTTACAACAGAAATGAATAAGTCAGACACAGCCTAGCTTCACTGAGTTTCGAACAGTGATGTGAACACATCGTGTGTGTCCTGATGTGTGTTTGAAGAGTGATGTAATGCTTAGAAAGCAACTAATTAACTACAAAGTTACTGACTATGGCTGTTTGAAGTGAACTGAACACAATGATTTGAATGTGTAATTTTCCTCTATATATACACCCAACCTGTCAAATGAGCCACTGATGTTTCCAGATGTTGAACAGGTGTGTAAAAAATGTACCTGTGCAGCGAGGACAGGAACAGTCTCCAGGGAGCCTTTCTGTTGCTCCACCTCCTCCTTCAGTTTATCGATCAGATCCTGCTTCAGAGCCAGCGCTCGCTCTGCCTCCTCTAGTCGGCTGCACAGATCTCCTCCCTGGAAGACGAACACACAACACACACATCAGTGTTAAGACATGTGTCCATAAGGTAGGAAGCAAGGCTAAGGAGGGCAAAAGATGTTAATGTGTGTTTTTACCTCACTCTTCAGTTTAGAGTCGTAGTCTCTAAAGAGACATGTGTAGGCGTGTTGCAGCTGTGTCAGTTTTTTTCTGAGAACAAAGGAACAGAATTTTACCTTTCAGAATAAAACAACAAATCACAGGTATTGTGCCGGTAACAGTGGTGAAGAATTTTGAACTAAACCCAGGAGCAGAAACAGTTGACATCATAATACTAATACAAAAACTGAATTACAAGTGTACTTCTTTATTATGGACCCTTAAATTAGATAAAATTGTGTCTTATTTCTCTTGTTTAGAGAAAATCTGCTGAACAACACCTAAATCTCAGGTGCAGTTTGCCAGGTGTCGGTTTAGTGGAGCAATTAATAACCAGTCAGTACACTGCTGTCAGTGTTTGTATGTGTGTGCTGAACTCACTTCTCCTCCGTGACGACATGTCTCTCTGTCTTCAGGGCCTGCTCCAGGCTCTGGGTCTGCAGCAGCAGCTTGTCCATGGCCACATGATGCTGCTTCCTCTGCTGCTCCAGCTCCCGCTCTGCCACCTGCAGTGCCTTCAGCTTACTGCACAGTCTACACACGGGTTAAGAGAGAGAGGTTCACATCAGCACACAGGCACACCTACAGATGAACACAGAGGAGACTCTATGTACCGTATATATTTATGATGTAACAACTTACTTTTCTTCCAACATTTTGCGTTCATGCTCGCTTTTCTCCAGGCAGCTCTGTCTCTCATTCAGTTCTCCTAACAGGGAAGTTGCCTGAGCTTTCAGAGCCTCACAGTCTTTGGCCAGCTGCAAAAACAAAACATTTTAAGGCATTGGACTAACTTTTAATATTTTAAAGACCGCTTACTACAGCGCCACCACATGTAACTCTGTAACTTCCTTTGTTGGAAGATTTTGGATTTTAATAGTTCATACCTGAGCACAGTCTTTGTCCTTCTGTTTGAGCAGAGCTTCAGTTCTGTCTCGCTGAGCCGAACTCTTCTGCAGGTAATCAAGCTTCTCCTCCAGCTCCCGATACCTGCAGGAAAAAACAGACTCATAAGTATTCAGACACTTTAGCTCCGGTCCCTCACATTTTTCTTGATCATCTTTGAGATGTTTCTACACCTTGATTAGAGTCCGCCTGTGGCAAATACTTATGTCAGTGTGATATCTCACATTTTTTACTTTTTAATAAATTAGCAAAAATGTATCAAATTATGTTTTGGCTTCCTCATTACGGGATACTGAGTTTAGATTGATGAGGTTAAAAATGAACTTAAATGATTTTAGCATACAACATAACAAAATGTGAAAATAGTGAAGGGTCTGAATACTTTCTGAATTCACTGTATATGTTTCACTACAATAAGTTATCTGAATCACCCCCTTGGCTGAATCATTTATCATTTTCATATCAAAATTGCAATTTGAAAGTGTGCAATTCTTGATTTGTAAGAGCTGCAGATATGTTTACTCACAAATTACAAGCAAGTGAAAGTTTGTAACTGTTGTTGGCAAATTCACATAGCTGTAGCTAATTAACATTCATTCTGTGTAGTTGAGGAAGAAGTACTTAGATTCTTTATCAAATCAGCTTACAGCAGTTACAGTTCAAAGCTGTCAACAGTAGCATTAGTCTGAGATGCTAAAGTTAGCTTATGTAGCTACATTTCAGAGCCGTCAACATTAGCATTAAATATTATTGAGAAATGTCAAGTGAACCAGTAATATAATATCTTAATGTGAAATAAACTAGCAAGAAACTTGCTAAGTTGACTTTTCTCTAATTAAAAAACACATCAAAAATTAAAAACTGCATTATTTCACCTGAAACGATGCCCCTAAAAACAAGATGAGTTTCCAGTTATGCTTGGTAGAAATGTTGTTTTGTTACGCAACAAATACAGGCATCTAGTTTAATTTTAGAAAATAATGGAAGACCTAACATGTAGCAAAAACACAATTAAGTATTTTCCTAAAATTATTCAGCCATATAGTAAAGTTACAATTCAAAATTGAAATAATTTCCTTTATATACTTATCTTTCCAAGTAAAATATTTTGGGAAAACTTTTAATTCTTTCATCTAGAGACTGCAGCTGCAGCTTTGAAGTTAAAGTTAAACAGTTAAAATCCTACACTCCTATTATTGATTGATTTGTTTGCCATACATGACACTGGCCTAACAGAAAAATAGTACTTGAAAAAAATCTAAAATATGTCACATTAACAAGTAAACAACAACAACAAAATAAAATAAAAAATCACAATGAGTTACAAAGTAAGAGGAGGAGACAGTGTAGGCGGCAGACATGCACACAGTGAGAGAGAGAAAGCCACACAGAGCTTCGGGCTCACCTGCCCTGTGTGGCCTGAAGCTGCTCTGTGAGTTTAGCCAGGCTAGAGCTGGAAGAGGAAACAGAAAGAGAGGGAGGGAGGAGGTAGAAGACATCTCAGAAGTCAGGCTTTTATTAAGCAGCAGAAACGCAGAAATTAAAAAGCATGCAGGTGTCCTTATGCCACAGAGAAGACTTGTCTGCAGATATACCATTCATGTAAGATTAATCAGTCCAAGAGCTGTAAATGACAGAAAGTTAGTTCAGTGCTGGTAGTTTCAGTATTCTGTGTTAGAGGGGAAACTGAGTCATACCAGTCAGAGGAGTGCTGCGCCTCAGAGCGATGTGGAACATTCTCCTCAGTAACGTTGCTCACCTTTGAAAACAGTCATACAAGTTTTTTAGATCCCAGATAAAGCAGCTGATTCTTAGGTCTATCAATTATCATAACATCTCTATTGATCACAGAAAATGTCTATAAGTTACAGACAAAGAAGAAACAAAAGCCATGACAAGCAACAGGAGCGAGACTTAGTTCTCTAAATCTTATCTTATCCAAATTAACATTGCTTGATCATACTTTAAAACACAATCTAGTGTTAGACACACGAACTGGGGAAAATTTTGCTTGTGCTGATTTTAAATCCATTATGCAGATAAGTTAGTCTCACTACAACTGGTATTTCCCGAAGCATTTAGCCTTTCATTTCATATTGTGTAATGTTTGTATATTTTACAGTTTAAATTTGTGTCCAAAATCAACTACAATGTGTGTAATTATGGGAAGTGTAGGATCCAGTGATTTTGGAGCTTGACTCATACAAGGCAGAGAAAGTCAGGATATCTCAGCCTTTGCTGCTTCAATTTTAAAAGCTTTTTGTGTGTGCACTTCATGGCTTTGTTTGTAGTAATTGATTAATTTACAATTAACTAATACAGTTCACTTTCAATCAAAACAGACAGGGAGATGGGTTAGCTGGAAACTTTCTGAGAAGTAGATACAGTGAAATTTAGATATACAGTGATCAACAACAGCTAATCCAGAGGGGGACTTTCTGTGTTTACTTCAGAGAATCCAATTTACAGCCACAACTCCAACTTAAGAGTAAAGTTCACAGAGAAAAGTAACAGAGCTTTAGCGTTACAAAAGAAAAGTGTTCTTGTCTGGGTGACCTCATGTTTAATTATTCATTAGGTTTTCATGACCTATAATAAAATTTTTGTTTATTTAAAAGCTTTTTTCACAAGTCATACTACAAGTAATACTACATTACTGCAGTGGTTACAAGGGGAGAGTTTCTACATGCTCATATCACGGTGTCACCTGTGCCTGCGCCAGTTTGGCTCGTAGTTGGTCAATGCAACGCCGCATCCGTTCTCTCTCTTTCTCTCCCTCGTCTCTGTCTCTCTCCAGCTCTTCGTTCTTCCTCCTCAGCTCTCTCATCCCTTCCTCCAGTTTTTCTTTATGGCTCTTCAGCAGCTGCAGGAACTCGTTTGCACCTTCCACAGGCTGCGGAGAAAGACGTGAAAAGTGAAAGAACCAGAGATGAATGGATGCAGAGAGACATGATGATGGGAGGGAAGTGGACAGAGACAAACCACATTCACCCTGGGCTGGAAGGAAGGTAGAAATACACCAAGTCGTAAGATAACAGAAACAAAAGGTTTACAGGAGCAGAGATGGATTATAAAGAAAGATTAATCAGTGATTATTAACAGTGCTGGCATCTGTGTATTAATCAAGTAGGAAGAAAATTAATTTTTGGTGTGCAACATCCATTCAATCCAGCATTCCTGCTCAGAAGTCAGAGGATGAAACCTGGACGACCTCAAGATTTAGACTGCCAATTGTAAAACACAGTTTCCCATAATGCAGCTGGTGTCAAGTTTGTTATTAGAACATTTTTAAATGCTGCACAGTGATCAGTCACAGGTTGTCCAGTCGCATTTTTCCGAGTAGGAAGTCCGGCTTTATGACCTTCCTGAATGTGATGACAGATAAGTAGGGGTGACATCTAAAACTAATTACATCGGGATGCAGTGAGCAATCTCACCTGGCCACTTTCCCTGCCCATCACCTCCCCCAGTACCTCTGAAAATGAGGCGGGGGGAGTGGGGAGGGGGCTACTCAAGGAGCTATGCACACTCGCACCGCCCTAGACACACGGACAAACCCGTTAGATGGAAAATAAACAAACACATCCAAACTAAAAACCAAAAACATCCTCACACATCTTACCAGGCTGCGAGGTGGCGTGGTCTGTGTGTGTTGATCCGTCTCTTCAACTCTCTTCTTCTCCCGCTGATCTAGAGTCTGAAAGACACAACGGAAACACGTGGGTCCAATGTCCACTGGAAATATGTTAGAAGTAGAACATCTATTCTTCAGCAGATGTAGTTTGGAGCTGTTTTTTCCCACATATAAGCTTATTACATACATGTTTGCTCATTTAGATGTAGTAACAGATGCCTTGTGGCTGTACCTTCATGACAACCTGATCAGCTTTCTGTGTGATCATTTTAAATGTCAGTAAGTGCAGTGCCACAACTCCTCTGCTCTCATTAACCTGTATCTATGTTTATTTCGTCAGATGATTTGAGCATCAGTGCAGCAGCTTCAGAATGACTGCCGGTAAATGAGAACAACCTTGTTGTTAGTTTGGCTATAAAAGAAAGAAGGGACAGAACAAACATTTAACTGGCTGAATCACAGCAGAGTAACTAGTCTACGTCATGCGCAGTTCTGTTGTTTGCCAACTGAAAAGAGGATGAAGGAGACAAGATGTAGTCACAGGAAAACCATCTGCTTCCCTTAAGTCACTTGATTTTTTTCTTCTCTTTCCGCTTCATTCTCTTTTTCTCTCCCTCTTGAATTACATTGGTAAATAAAACTCATTAATTACAAACAAGAAAAGATAAAGCCAGTAACACATGAGAAATGCATCATTAAATATTAACTGAAGTCAAATGGCCAATGCACTCTGCTCGCGGGCCTGGTGGACATTGGCAGTGGATCCTGCAGCCATGATGTTAGACTCATTTCTGTCCACATGTTATCTCCAGCTGAAAATTTCAAAATGTCTGTCTTGTGAGTTACATTTGCATATCACCACACATCAGATATGTGCTTATAAATGTGGCCAAATTACAGTAACTATTACCGATGCAATAGGACTCAATGTGTAAATAAAATATGAGCACGCAACTAAAACAAATAACTAATAAAAAAAAAAAAGTTGAAATAATATATGCTGTGACCTCTGCATACACACGCCAATACAGGATTATACAATAAAAGAGTGGAAGCTATGAAATGGTGCAACTTACAAGTTAAAATGTAAAAACACCTGACAATGTGTAAATAAAAGGAAGCTGAAGTGTGAATCTCTAACCTGTGGTCCTTCGAGTGGACCGTTCCTGGCTGGGCGTCCTTGCAGGTCTTCGGTTTGGCTGGAGCTGCAGCAGTGGTTAGAAGAGGAGGTCGGACCACTGACCAGGCTCTGTAAGGAGTGGTTCTCCTGGGCCAGCCTCTCCACCAGGGCCCTGGCCTCCTGGAAACGAGAGCTGAGAAATTCTCTTTCCTCTCTTGTCCTTCGCTGCCATCCCTCCATCTCCTCACAGCGCTGACGCAAGGCCAGGTTGCTCCGCCGCAAGGCCTCTGGAGGACAGAAGGGTGAAGGTAAAAGGAGAAATAGGAGACTGATATGTCAGAACTTGATATGCAAGAACTTGTTTCTTGCTTTGACAGGTAAAGTCAAATACAAGGCGGCCACAGATTAAACCAATATTATGATGAGAAACTAGAAGTAGGCAGTTATTCTAATTTTGTGGTGGATCTGTAATGTTGGGATTTCCAGGAGACACTATGTAAATATTGAACGATGAAATAAAACATTGTTCCTCTTACAAATGAAACATTGAATTTGTGTTAATTTGAATACACAGTGTTTTTCTGCAACAGACTAACTTGGTCTGGGACAATACAGTCTATGGGTACAACCAGTAGCTTATGGTAGCTAATGTTAGCAAACATTACATAAACATTGCTGTGTTACTGAGTCACAGTACAGGTTTTGTGACTCTTATTTATTGTTACTGTAAGTATCAGCATTATTATTATTATTATTATTAGATAATTGCCACACACTGAAATGGTGAACTAATCAGCAATAAAACACAGTTTAGCCCATCACTCAGGGTTTTTGTTACTACAACCTTCCTTGGTCTGGTATGACCAATAGCATATCTAAGATAATCTTAGCAAACCTCAGATAGATATTGTTGTTTAACTAACACTGAGTCAGTTTCCTGACTGTATGACTTTTCTTTACAATTTAAATTAAATGTTGAAGTCAGTAATTAGTCAAAGACATTTCTCAATCTGATACACCCAGGGATTTTTCCAGCCTCAGTTTTACTGGTATAAATTTTACTGGTATAACTGGTGTAGGTCTTACTGGTATAACCAGTGTGACTAAAGATACATTTTAGAGAGATATTGCTGAGTAACTTTCATTACTGAATCAGTTTGCTGACTTTATGATTCATTTCCAACTGTGCTACTGTTGCACTACATTTTAGTAATGTCCACTTACTGCCCCAGTGGCGACTGTTTGGCAAGAGTTACAAAGGCTTATAAGCCTCAGCCGCAGGGGGGACAGCAATTGGTCCAGTAAGTTTAGAAGTTTCTTGAGTCCACATTTTGAATTGTCCATAACCAAGACACTGATCCTAAGTTGCTGTTGACGATTGGCCTTGTGTTAATAAACATTGAATGTCTCTAATTTTGTATGGCTCACACATACACACTACTTTGTTATTATCCTCTCTTGAAATAATACTTTGAACTCACTATTTATTGTTCCACCGTTAACACCATCCTGCACCACCACTGCTAAAATGCTGTTTTGATTCCATTCCAATAATGCCTGGACATATCAAATGCTGAGAAAATGCTGTGCTTAAAGTTAAGTAAATATTTCTTAATCTTTAAAATATGGGACTAGGTCTTACCTCTAAGCTGCTGGTTATCACCCAGCAGCCTGGTCACCACTTCATTGGCAGCAAGCTCTGGTGGGACCCTGAGGGCCCCTCCACTCTCCTCTCCTGACATGTCCCACTGCATTGGGCCATCAGGTTGGGGCTGCACCATCCCTAGAGAAACACATGCACAGTGATATCGATATACATACAGATATTGAACTGTTACTAACACAAAGCATCGCCGCAGCGTGCCTGCATCCATGCCTGCAGACAAATCGTGTAGCGCGCCTCGTAGGCGGCCGGAGACAGTAACTTTTACTTTCAATTTAATCCTTCGTCAAAATCCTGGTCCCTCTTCTGTCTGAGGCCACCTGGCCTGATTGATGGGCTTAGTCTAATGACTCACCGGTTTAGTGGCAATACTCTTCTTTGTGCTGTAAACCTTCGCACAGGTACCGGTGTACCGGGCGGGAGGAAAACATTACGTCATCCCCAGTAACATGAGGCACGCAGCTCAACTGAGACACAAAGCTTGTTTTATAAATTAGTTTACAACATAAACAAAAGTAAAACACTACTCGTCAGCTTCATTAGTGTCATATGATCAAAAGCACATGACCAACTCACATTTAATAAAGCTAACGTTACATCGTGTTGTTTTCTCCCCCGCAGTAACACAGGATCAAACCTGTCCTCACTACACATTACAAATTAATTTGACAGCTAACGTTAGGACAACACAGGTACGAAACTCCACTTACCCAGTCCTTTTTCAGTTGTGTTGTCCGGAATAACAGGCACCCAGGCTGTCATTTACATACAGCCTGTTAGTGAGTGTACCTAACGTTATTTAGGCAACGTTAGAAACCTGGTTGATGCTAGATAGCTAGCGATTTAGCTTATGAGCTAGCTAGCTAGGAAGATTTAGCAAACCAACAGCTGAGTAATCTCAGGCACTCGTTGACTGACATAAACTCCGATCTACATTAACGAATTGTATATCTCCCTAAATTCATTTAGCTAAATCTCATAACGTTATCTCAATACTCTGTGTGATTTTAGGATGGATTGAGGTTATCTGTCCTAGCCGAGGCGACTGTTGTTAGCTCAGGAAATGCATAGAGTTAATTTTCCCTGAGTTTAGCCTGTTAGGTAGCACTTCCTCTCAGGCTGCAAACACAACCCACTTTGTTAAACCTCACAATTCTTACAAATCACTTCACCAAGGATAAAGACATACCCTAGCATGTAGCATGAAACTCTCTTTTTCTATTGGTCTGATTGAATTCAACAAACAATTTATTATTCCAGGCCATATTGTAAGGCTTAACTGAACAACATGTTTGTTAAGGAATATTTTAAATGTATATAAATTCTGTGACATATCAGTCTTGACTCATAGTCCCCTTCATATCTTTTTCCGGGCTGTTCGGCTACATTTCACTGCCTTCATCAAGCATGATGATGATTATATGTAAAACAATGCAGTTAAATTACTATTTTCTGCGGATGCTTTATTGGTTTTCTGCTCCATACATTTTTATACACACTCAAAATTGTTTTGATAGAAGCATTACATTGTGATCTTGTTTTAAAACTATGAATGCTGTCATAAACTGGTCCCTGTTGTTTATTCAAATTATAAAATAAAACTGTCTCCTCTGTTAGTGTGGAGGGTGTCCATATTCTGAGTGAGTGCTGCCTGAAAAGCTGAACTGAGGCGAGAAAAATCCCACCTCTTCAGGAAATCCCCCTTCCTTCTTCCGCAGTGGGGGATGACGTCAGCCGGCTGCAGCAGCAGAGCTTCCTGTGCTGATGTGCGCAAAGCGAAAGAGGCTGCACAATGCTCTCTACCCCCGCTGCTGGACTTCTTTTCATATTAGCTTGGATTTATCCAAGTTACGCTCTCTACTTCCACATAGGAGAGACGGAGAAAAAATGCTTCATTGAGGAAATTCCGGACGAGACCATGGTTATTGGTAAGATGCTACGGGGTCGTTAGCTGGACGCAGCTAACTAGCAGTGCACGCTAACAGCTGGCTGCAGGAAAGATGCTGCACTGGTTGCTTACAAGCCCCAAAGTGGAAAACACTGGATGTTTCTGTAGCTGCTGGTGAACCTCTTAACACTAGCATAGATTTTCTCAGTGAGCGACAGCATCACAAACACCTGAGTGTGTGTTTTACATTCAGAATGATAATTGTAGTTAATGCCCCAAGGCACAAAATTCAATGGTTGATTTATGTCATCGTGTTTTAAGAAACAGAGATCAAAAGTGCAACTAAATGTTAAAAGTTACCCTTTCCTCACAACAGCTGTTCAGCTCCAGGTCCAAACCTCACAGTAAATCCAGTATTTTCCACCTGAAACCAAAGCTGACATTGTTTTTACAAGACTAATATTGTGATGAGTAACAATTTCTAACAGAAACTTACCATCATTCCTAAGAACCTGCACCGCCCACATTCTGTTTGTCTTTAACCTTCACACCCAAGTTAAATATAAACCCTGTGTTTATATATTGAAACACTGGATGAGAACGTGTCTAAATGGAAAGATGGTGTTGCATTTAGGGTTGATGGTGTATCACACAAACTGTTCCCAATGAAAAGGTTTTTATTTATTTCTATATTATATATTTTAAGATTTACTCTCACTGCTGTCATTAGCTGCAGCAAGCGGCAGTTTTCAATACAAAAGCTCTGGTAAATCCACTGTACTGGACTGACAGGCTGCGCTGGTTAACAATAGTGGAGACCAAAATAGAGCTAATAGAAGAGTCAATCTCACACTTACATTCATCAGCTGGACAGAAGCACAACTTTAAATGAATGCTAATGTAGCTCTGTGTCTGCTGGATGCGTAAATAAGCAGCTGTGTGTGCTTGTTTACATGTTACTCCAAGATATAGACTGAGTGGGTCATTTTACAGTTACATATTACATATTTTGTCATTGGCAGTCAAAATGTGTAATATGTAACCTGCCACTGGCATTTCTGTACTACAGTTTGTTACCTGGCCTACACATCTGTAATTCAACAAGTAAAAATATTGAGCTGATTCTGACGAGCTTCACACATGAAGGCTTGGTAAAGTCTCCAAAGAGTTAGTTCTGACATTATCAAAGCGGAAACTTTCCATTTACATAAACTTTGCATCAAGTTGAGGTTGCACACATTTTGAAAACTTAAACTGCAGTTAATATTCTCACATTGTATTTTTCCAGTCATTTTTTTCATCTTTGTATGTTTAACTGTATTTGATTTACTTTTCATCCTTTATCACTTTATCACATGTGTTTTTATATCTCTGGTACTGTAGTTACATTGTGTTGAATACCTTCATATGCTACGTTTAATATTTCAACTAATAATAATTCTGCCACTATGTTACTGAGTGATTCCTGGATGATCTGATTGCGTGTGTCTGTGTTGGTGTGTCTGTTTGACAGGGAAGTACAGGACTCAGCTGTGGGACAAGCAGACCAATTCTTTTCTCCCATCCACCCCCGGCCTTGGGATGCATGTCGAGATCAAGGATCCAGATACAAAGGTAAGGACAGAGGAGGTCGTAACATAAAACCCACCCACATGCATAGAAACAGAATCTAAAGATTTCTCTCTTACAATTCTCCCAGATTATCCTCTCTCGTCAGTACGGTTCAGACGGCCGGTTCACCTTCACCTCCCACACTCCTGGAGAACATCAGATCTGTCTGCACTCCAACTCCACCAAGATGGCTCTGTTTGCAGGTGGAAAGCTGGTATGAACATAGTCACTGCTGTGATTTTTAACTGGTTGACCTGTTACTTCCCTCCAACATGTTTCACACAAATAGTGATTACTCTGGCTCTGAGCCAAGTAATCTTCTGATTGGCTGACTGAATAAATATATAGTAGATTTCAGTGAGAGACACTGAGAAAAATCAAATCCTGCAAGGTTGGATAGTGGGTGCAGGTGGGCGGGGCTTGGGGGATGGCTGAGGGCAGTGACTGCTTTGTTGTTTAGGTCTGATCTCAAACAAAACATCTTGTAAGCTGTATGAAACTTTATGAAACTAATTCATGGCAGTTTTTTCTGAGCCCTATCTGACAATTATTATTTGTTTAAATGACCACAGAAAACAGGCATGTAGATTTCAAACTATCTGTTTCCTGATGTAGAGAGTGCACCTGGATATTCAGGTCGGTGAACATACCAACAACTACCCTGAAATTGCAGCTAAGGACAAACTCACTGAGCTGCAGCTACGAGTCCGACAGCTTCTGGACCAGGTCGAGCAGATCCAGAAGGAGCAAAACTACCAGAGGGTCAGTAAAAAACACATGTGGACCATGTCGAGATCACGGGTTTACTGCTAAGTTTAGTAGGTTACAGTTGCTGTTTATACTATGACTTCACTCTGTGTCGTCTTTCACAGTATCGTGAGGAGCGTTTTCGCATGACGAGCGAGAGCACCAACCAGCGCGTCCTCTGGTGGTCCATCGCTCAGACGCTCATCCTCATCGTCACTGGGATTTGGCAGATGAAGCACCTCAAAAGCTTCTTTGAGGCCAAGAAGCTGGTGTAATAACCTATGTGTGCATCTGGAACGACGTAAACACAAGCAGACAGACTTGACTGACAGGAACAGAGAGACGCCCACAGAAACACCCAGGAGGAGACACGTGGTCTTAATATCAGCCATAAATGGTACGAGCAAATTCACGATTCTCAGCAATGTGTTTTTTTTTTCTTGTTTCAAGATATTGTTATTTTTCCGTTAGCAACAACAGAATGGCTTACCCATTGCTAATTCCTTTCTTGTTGTGTTCATTATGTTTTCACTGGACATGTCATTTTCCTGTCTTCCTGTGCAAGAAGAAGCAGAGACAACATTAGCGACCTGAGGTTGTGTTTTTAAGATCGTACAGGAGTGAATGACTGCAGCAGTAGAAACATAACAATGAGAATGTTACAGCTGTTTCTATGTTCACCAAGTGGTCACACTTATGCAAATATTATACAGGCAATGATTCCTCATATGTGCGCTTTATAACACTATACTCAAACCCCTGCGTTTAACATTTATAAGTAGTACATAATAATAAATGGTTCATAACACTCTGAAATATAGATGGAAGTTTAATGGAGGAAGTTTTAAGTGTTGATTAATGTATTTGTGAACAGTTTTAACCTCCTATGAAGCTTCTGCAAATGGTAAATAAACAGTTAATTATCTTTAATAACAGTATAACATAGCTGTGATCATATTAATGACACACAATAACACACACTAACAAGTCCTCAGTGTGTTACAAAATGTATTAACTGTTTATGATTGTGTTGATCTTAATTTTAAAGGTCCCATATTTTACACTTTTACAGTTTTTTACTTGATGTGTTGATATCCATAAGAAGATATTTTTGCAGTTTTAAGAATCAAAATCCAGCTTGATGTCGTTGAGCCAATTGACTGTTTTCTGAGTGATCGAATAAAAATATAGCAGAGTTCAGTTGAACACGCAAAGAAACCAAATTAAATCAGGCTTACTTTAGTAAATTCTGTTTCATAAAGCACCTAGAGTTACCATGGAAACACAGTCTCTCCTCTGAACCTAGACCTGATTTATCAGCAAAAAAGACATTGAAATCTCACTTTATACAATATGGGACCTTTAACTCAAAGTTCAGTTACTAGATATTACCTGGGGCTTTCAGCCACATCTTGTGGCCTTCATCAGATAATAGGGTTTGTTCAGTTGTGATGGAGGGTAAAGGAGTATCTGTAAATAAACCACACATACATGAATTAATTAATTCAATTCAATCATTCATTATTATCTGTTTATGCACCAGTTCCTGATGTTTCACAGCACAAATACATTGATAACCACTTTAAATGTCTTAATATCTGATTACAACTACATTAGTTCGTTATAAACCATTTATTTTGTGCTTAGAAATGTGAAACGGGGTCAAACTGAACTGTTACATCCATCCTTCTACCGACTGTATATAGTTTCTAGCTTGAGTCCAGTGTCCTGTATATTTTACCCGAGCTTGGTCTGTAGATACAGTTTGTGATACTCATCTATGAATAACAGGAGTCTACTGTATGTTGTAAATAACAGGTAAAGCCTATTGACTGTCCTGTTCATTTTCTAATGCCTTTTACATGGATTGAATGAGTCTTTACATTTGTTTTATTTGTGTCACCAAATTTTTTTGTTTCACCAGAACTTATTTATTGAGCTGTCGTAACCTGTGTTTTATTGCTGAGCTTTAGCAACATTTACTGTAATTTTCAGCGTTTTAATACTTTTACAAGTCCTGTTAATTTAGAGGAAGAACTTCATATCATTGGAGAGGAACAAAGTAATTTTTTTACATTCAAAGTTTAGACTTAGGTCCAATTCTTGAGATGCAATATGTTTGGGAACTAAATTCTTTTTAAAATGGTTAAAGTAACACTTATTAAAGTATTCCAGTTTTTACTGTGGTCCAGATGTCACCTCCATGAGCTTAATAAAGAAACTTTGGCCAAACATCTGTCTGATCATATTATCTTTGCTGTAAAGGTCCCATATTTTACACTTTTGCAGTGTTTTATTTGAATCCATTTTTACTCCATATTATTTTGATCCATAAGAACATATATTTGTGGTTTTTAGAACAAAAACCATCTCAATGTAGTTTTACATCTCCTCCCTCAGACTTCTCTCTGGAGCTCTAGTAACAACAGGTGGATGAGCCAATCAGAAGAGAGGATCTGGCCTTTCTTCCGATTGGCTCAGAGCTCTGGCCCTAGCTCTGTTTTCTGATTGATCAAATAAAAATGTAGCAGATTGCAGGTCAACACTCAGAGAAACTAAATTCTTAAATGTTGGATGGTGGGTCCAGGTGGGCAGGATTCGAGCATGGATGAAAGCAGATTCTGCTTTGTTGTGACATCACAAAGTTACAGAAGTCCTGATGGCTTGGTTTAAGGCTAAGTTTCTGAATTCAGGCTGTGTGCATTTCTCTGTGTACCGAGCGCTTTGACACTCTCACACAGTATTAATATAGAATCTAGACCTGCTTTATAATCAAAAGACATGGAAATCTCACTTTAAACAATATGGGACCTTTAACTAGAAGAAATACACAGTAAATTGCAGATATTTTCCACAGTAAAATTTATTGCTTCGGCTTTGCTCAGAGCCAGATTCCAAACTGAACAACGCTCAGACGCCTCGTTCAGACAGCAACCACGTCTAACCACAAGTTGATTGAGCTTTTTTTTCTTTTATATCACTGACATTGATCGCACTTTTCATGGAGACAAAAACATACTGACCTTGTGACATCTTTGAAGAAACACTGCGACACCATCATAGCTGCAGTGTAAAAAATCTAGTTGAAAACATACGCTGAAACAAGATCACCACTTTGCATAGGTCGACTCTTTCATCTCCAATAATGTACCATGGCACAGACACAACACTAGTACACAGAAACAAAACATTTTCTCCAGGTTTACTCTTTTGTTAATTTGTTAATATCAATAATAAAGTTTTGACACGTCTGGCACACCGTACGAAACAATATCAAACGCACAATACTATGTGTCATTATAAAGGGATAAATGATTTATTAAATCAAGTCTTTGTTTCATCTGTACAACAAAAACGGTACATTGTAGTCTGGAGTTCCTGACCTCCGGGACACTGTACACAGTCAAGCACATTTCAGCACGTTGGGTTGGAAAGGTAGAAAATATCACATCAGCACAACAAATCTTCACTACCTCATAACTCGAGAGAAATCATTTTCCATTTGTCGTCATGTTTTCATGTGGTTGTACATTTGTGGTGTATCCAGTAATCTTGTAGGAGAGATTTCCACAAAGAGGAAGTCGGAGCACTACAGGTTAGTAACACATTACTTTTTAAAAAACGGTTGAACTATTTCTGTAGCGAACGCCACTTTTTAGTGCTTAAAAGAGCAAGAAGGGCACACCAAAAAGTGAAGAGAATTAGGCAAATACACTTTAAAATTATGCAAGAATTTTTGCAATCCTAATGCCACGTGGCTCTGTGGAAATGATCTGCTTCACTGATCTGTTCATTAAATTTTCTTAAAGGTATTTCAGAGGAGGAGAAGCTTCTTCTTAGTGTTCGGACACAGTGAGATGTGTCATCTTCTTGGCAGCCTCTTCAGACACCACCTTGGATGTTTTCTCTGGGCTGGGAGCTGGACTGGGAGCTGGACTGGGATTTGGAGTGTTTGCCGCGCTGTTAGGATACTCCCTGTTGCCGAATATGATGCTGCCCACTCGCACGTTGGTGGCGCCAACCTCGATCTTCGACAAATGGGACAATGAATGTGTAAGCAAACTGTAGCTTACGCAACTGAAGACCTTGTCGTGAATTGTGAAATTTAATGACTACTGAATATTTGGTTGAAATTTAAATACCAATTCATCTACAGCAAAATTTACAGAATGGTTGCAGCAGATCGTAGCAGAGTTGACACAGCTCTGTCTGGAGCCACAAACGGTTTTGAACCAAAACTGTATCAAACCGATTGAATTGGTTTGATACGATAGAAGTTTGAGTTAAATTTTAGTTAAGGTAGAAAGTTGGATTGTTGAAATTCAGAAAATTCAAGATGAAAAATTCTAACTATATTTTATTCATCTGACATAGTGTTAAATACTGGTTACAGTTCACAAACAACTCTTCAGTTGATTATAAGATTCCAATTATGCCGGCTGATATTTGCGTCAGTGTTTGAGCGTAGTTTATAAATGATAAGAAGTGATACTCACCGCATGTTCAAAGTCTGTGGACATACCCATGCTGAGCTCCACCTCCTCCAGAGGCAGCTTCAGACTGTCACACACCTCCTGCCTCCGACTCAGCAGCATCTACAGGAGGGACACGATGTTCAGGTTATAACCTGATCGATACTGATGTAGATATTTAAAAAATTATATATCAGCTAACAGTCATGTTTTTAAATAAAATTACATTATTGTATTTGAATTGACACAGTAACATCTACATTTAGTGCAGCACTTCTGAACAAAAGAGATGACAGATTTAATAATAACACACAGATATGAAACTAAAGCTATTTAAATCAGCGAGCTGCTGCAGTTTGGCCCCATAAGGGCCCCATGTGCTTGCTGCATTCAAAGCCCTGAAGCTTCAAGTCTTTTTTTGGCGCAAAGAAGAAACAAAACCTTGTCAGGCTTCATCTGCCCATCACTAGTTTCAGCTGTTTTGACTGTCATGTGTAAGAATAATCTAGTGTGAGCTGAGGTCAGGTCTGGAAGAAGAGATGTGTGTATTAAGGTAGGGTTAGTACATGTGGGTGTTTTCATATTAGTCTTTTGTACTTGAAAGTCCGGGTTGGGACCCAGGGTGAGGTTGTAGCCATAGCGCCCGATGGTCATGAGTCCTGAGAAGTGAAGGGCAGAACACTGGGACACGATGTGTTTCACTGTGTTCACCGTCTCCTCCGGGGGCAGGCCATGTTTACCTACAACAAACATGAGACATACTGTTTGTGATCAGCTGACGCTGTGCGTGCGGTATGTGTGTTTGTGATCAGCCTACAGAATGAGAACAAAAAAAAATGGATATCAACACTTACTCTGTTCTCCGCTGGTGTTGATCTGCACCATGACCTTTAACCTCTGCATGCTGGCTCCCCTGAGCCGCTGCCATGAGCTGTTGACCTTGTCGGCCAGTTTCGCCGAGTCAACCGTCTCAACGAGGAACAGGTTTGGCACGCCTGGGAGCAGAGAGACAGGACTCAGTGTGAGGCTTTTTAACACGAAGCTTCGGCCTCAGAGCTGACAGGCACTCACCCAGAAGTTTGTTGACATTATTCTTCTGTAGGTGGCCGATGAAGTGCCACTTGATTTCGGGACATGATTCTAAAATCTGGACGAGGGAAAAAGAGACACTGTAAAAATATAGAAGAGAGCAGATTGGAAAAAAATCACTTACAAAATATAGAAACCCACCAGAGGATCTGAAGCTTTGTCCACAAGTTCATTAACCTGGTGGGAGATAAAGGACGAGGTTCATTATTTCTCACCTTTACTCCTCTCAGAATTTTGTGTTTATGTAGTTTAAGTGTTTCATGCTCACGTAATTTTCTCCAAAGTTGCGCTGCCCTTGTCTGTAGGCCTCCACAACCATCTCTGGTGGTTTTGTCTTGCTGACAGCTACGAGGCGGGGCGGCACAGCTGGCAGTGTCTGAGGAAGGACAGAACAGGCTCATTTCTCATCTGTATCAGTGAAATGTATCAGTGGAGGAGATCAGTGAGTTAGCGGAGGCCCTTTGGCTCTTGCAGAACAGTGAGTCAGCCTTGTTAGGATCCTGCAAAAAAAAATTATGAAACTGAGCTGCTGTAATGTTCATATCATACAGTGATCTCTACTCATGACTTAACAACAAGCCAGTGAGGGAAATCTGAATGATGCTAGGAAGATGCTGTGCATGCTCTGACCTAGATATCAACATTGGTGCTATTTCTATAAAGGGACGCTTCACGCTGACATCTTCACTGGTGGACATCCTACACACAGAGTGTTGTGAGGAGAGGCTGCTCAAAAGCGTGGTCGTGTAAATTAAGCCTACAAACATGCCAAACGCCAATCATGAAATCGTGCTAAAAGTAGCTCACAGGCACATCAGCGTGCATGCGGATACGGTATGAAAGATTTATCCTTCCGCTCCCACGCATATTGTGTTGCCACTAACAGACCATGCATGGTGTTATGAAAGTGCTCCCACTAGCCCGACTGTCTCCCATCCAAAGGTTGAGGTGTTTGGCAGCTTTACATAACGAGTCGTGCTGCCGCAGCACCACTTTTTTTGGACCCCGACTGTGGAGCAGACGGCAGCGGTGCTGCTAACGGAGCCTCCCCGGGCCTGTCGTTACCTTGGGCCGCCGTGCCGCCGCCTGTTTCACCCGATCCACTACAGACTGTAGCGCCTTCCCAACCTCCTCCGACATTGCTACTTTCCACATACCGTCAAACGGCTACGACACGCGACGTAGAGAAACGTGTCTGCTATGACGACAATCGCCTTTCAAAATAAAAGTCCACCTGAGGAGGAAGTGCGTCGTTGAGACAGCGCCCTCTACTGATCCTGCTTCAGCACTTCAGTCTTAATAAAGTGAGGATGTCCACTACTCTAGACTGAAATGCACACTCAGTCGGCAGTTTATTAGGAACACCCTTTTAAAACTAATGTAGTTCAATACAACAGTCCTATAATTAATCGTCCTTCATGAACGTTATGACGTCCAGTTTTTAATATTTGTATTAGTTTTGTATATTTGTATTCTTAATATTTTTTCAATATTTATTCACAATTTTATTGTAAATATTTTATTGAAAAAAAGATTATATTTCTATTTAAAGGTTCCATATTGTATTAAGTGAGATTTCAATGTCTTTTTTTAAATTATAAAGCAGGTCTAGGTTCTATATTAATACTGTGAAAGTATCAAAGTGCTTAGTCCACAGAGAAATTACCCAGCTTGGATTCAGAAACTGAGCCTTAAAATGAGCTGTCAGAACTTCTGTAACTTTATGATGTCCCAAAAAAGCAGTAACTGCTCTCAGCCATGTCAGGTTCAGAACCTCTCTTCTGATTGGCTCTACAACCTGCTGTTACGTGTGCTCCAGAGAAAATCCCAAAAGATGAGATGTAAAACTACACAGAGGGAGTTCTTAAAACCACCAATATATCTTATGGATCAACACTTAAAGTAAAACACCAGAAAAGTGTAAAAGACAAATCCTATGTATGTGAAAACACACTTGGCAATAAATCTGGTTCTGATGGTGTTCTCTTAAGAATTCCTGGACTAATAAATAGCTAAATCATTGTGTGTCTTACGGGCAATACAAGTTCCAATAACAGCCCCATTGTTTTCAGTTTTACTCTTTGCTAATTTTCATGTTGTCCCTCTAAATCATCCAGGCATTAAAACTAAGATATGTATGAAGAATAATATATTTAGATGACAGCATTTTATATAAACATCATACATAAGACATCACAAGTTAATGTACTTCCTGTCAGCTGCACCTGTGCTGTTCTGGAGACGACCCAGACCTTTAAAGTCTGTAGACATCTATCAACACGTTCAGGCAATAACCTGTAGTGTGGTGGAAATACATATTGTCATAAACTGAATGCACAAACACAAAATACAAGGAAAAAATGATTTATTCACAAGATCACACAATTTCAAAATGAAAAGAAACAAACATCCCTGTAAATAGAAATCGGACATCTTACAATTCTGACACAAATTGACATTGCCTCTTTCAAAACAGACAAACAACTAAAAGGGATAAAGAATGTAAAAAAGGTGTGGATCATTCTCCTCTCCGTCTGTAGCCTCCTCCTCTCTCATACTCTCTCCAAAGCTTCCAACATGATAATGCTGTTTCCCCTGATGACCTGTGAGGTACGAGACCACAGAGTTAATACATTTACACAAACTTCCTAAAGGTTTCTGAGTAAAACTGATGAAATTTCAAGTTAGTAATAACAGAACTGTCCAATCTTTAAAATCTTGAATATGTAATAAGAGCCAACATTGATGTTAAATGTCTGCTGTGAAAAAGCAATTGTGCAGTAATGTTATACCATGGGGCTTTTTTGACGAGCAGACACTGGCTTGCAGAGAAAATCCAAATCTAAAAGCAACTAGGTTTCATTTTGGCCTATTCTCAAGTTACTTACTGAATAAACATTTATTAGCCCCAGCTATGATTTGCCACCGGTGATGTTTGTCATTCTGACCAGTGACGATCAGAAGCTGCTATTTGACTGTTTTATACACTGATATTTTGCTCATGAGAAAGAGAGAAGAGATGACAGATGGATTAGCACTGGAGTTTAGTGGATCAGTGAGTTCTGACACAGCGATCTGCAAAATGCAGTGTCACTGGCACCACGACAGATACTGACCACCATGCCAATGGTATTCTGTTGTCCTCCTGGGCCCATCTCCAGACAGTCGTCCACCACCAGATTCATAAATGGGTCGAACCCTCGCAGGATGCCCTGCACGTGTCTGCCTCCATTCAACTTCACTGGAAAACAGAAAAAGGAATCAAATCCCTGTTAAGCTTAGTCACTGTTTCAGTTCAAAGGTCCACTTTGCTTTCAAAGAATTTACTTGTGTTGTTTTTAGTTAAGTTAGTAAAAAATATCTGGGATGAATCTAACTGTGATTGTGTCTTATTTTTTATAAAGTATAACTCCAATTTCTTTTTCCATCTTTGTAATCATACTGCAATACAAGCCAACTGTGAGAGGAGGAAATGCAGTAGGAGTCAGTTAGCCAGTAACAGTTGGCGTGTATTGCACCATGAAACAAAAGTGTCATCAGATGCTTATTTAGGACCACTGTGTTCATATTCTTGTTTGCCTAACTCATCTGGTCTGAGGGATCAAGCAACTGTCACAAATTGTGATATTACACAGATGTGTGGCAGAGGGATTAATAAAAAACAAGGGTATTGGACTTTGTGGTGAACCTAAGGATGTAGGATCCTTGACACTGAAATTGCTGAACAATCACGATTTCTATTAGAGATGCAACAATTGGTCAATTAATCATCAAATGATTTGATAACCAACTATTTATTTTAGTACTTTTTCAAATAAAAGTGTAAAGCACTACCTGGTTCCATATTCTAAAATGTGAGGATTTGATGCTTTTCTTTGACATTTATGATTGTAAACTGAATCTCTGAGTTTTGGACTCGTGTGTACAAAACAAGACACGTATAATAAACAGCTCCTTGGTCTGTGGTGGATTACAACAGGGAATCTTCACTATTTTTTGACACTTCAGAGACAAAACGATTATTCAATAATGAACATAACTGTTAGTTGCAGCTCTAATTTCCCATGTGTAATGTTAAGAGGCAGCTTAAGAACCAGTTAAACAAAGCAACAGAGACGATGAAACAAAAGTTTTCGACCAACAACCCATGTGAAACCCTTTTAACTTCATAGAACGGGCTCCGGTTTCCCTTAAAGTAATTGGTTTGTGTATCAGCTTCCAGCCATACTCACATGAAAGCTTCTTGTCCATGAACCTGAAAAAGAAAAATAACATTAACTTTCGTCGAAGGCACTAATATGATACATAATAGTGTCGGAGGCTAGCTTGTTAGCTAGCTAATGTTAGCTTGGTTCCATTGCAAACAATGCACCCGGCCGCTGTGGGGCTTTCATTTACGATACAAAGCATGTTCAGAGCAAAGAGTACATATGTAAATAAACAACTTACTTCTTGAGCTCGGGGGGATGCGCTTTACTCATTTTCTCTTTATTTACTATAAACCGACAGTTACTCGTATGATTTTCGTTTCACAAACCCGCGGAAGGAAAGCGTGCACCGAGGAACAGGAAGCTCACCAGCGGACTTCCTCCCGGACGTATGTTGTTAATCCTCCACAGCGCCGCCATGAGGTCAGGAGGAGGTAGGGCCGGTTAGGATTTTTTGTGTTTGTGCAAAAATATAACTAATTTCTTGTTGACATATTTCAGGTATCTGAGCATAAAAGGTGGAAATGGAAGGAAGAAAAAGCTTAATAACGATAAACATGGATACAGTAATAAATTATGTTTCACCTTCATTTTTGATTTCCATAATTAACTGACCAGACATTTTCTATAAAGTGGAGATGTATGACCTTTTTTTTGTAGATATTTTAGGCAGCCAGGGAGATGACAAGACTTCCTCTTTAATCCAAAACAAGTGCTGATGAGACCTGCTCACAGCTTCTGAAACTGAAATTTGCATCACACCCACAAACAGCTAAATGTATTTATTTTTTTAAATATGGAGGGAATATCTTTACATAAAAGGTTTCATGTTGTATTACTACTTCAAGTACCACAATCAGTCATCATTGTCATTCTGCAATCAACCCAATTTTAAGAGTGCAATTAGACTTTCATATAATGTACACAGGAACTTACTGACAACCCAGTTTATCAGCATGGAAAACTTCACAAAATCAGTAGGAAGAAAACAAACAAAACATCCCTTGAAAACTGTGAAGTTTTAATAATGTTATCTATAAAGAGCCATAGACTCATTTACAAAAGACCTTGAAAAAGTAGAAGATTCAAAACCTATTAACTCATGTTCTATATTTTCACAGTTGCACTTTTAAACAGTAGCTGAAAATCATTTAGAAAGAACAAACAAAACAAAACTCACATTGATCCTTGTTCATTGATCAAAGCACTTATCACACATCACAGACACACCAAAGGGCTGTGGCTGCCATCAGTCTATCTATTTGCATAGCTAGGTAATACCACCCGAGTTCAAGCCAGCTAAAAAGACAGGCCATGATGAAAGGCATTGTATTGGGTATAATCATCCATAACAACCACGTTGTTCAATAACTACCACATGTTGGAATCTCAAACAGCATATAAAAAGGCTCAGTCCATCTGTCCAACCTTGGTGAAGCACTTAGCAAATACTTAGCAAATACTTAGCAGTCTTGACCAAAGAACTGAACCTCCATCCAGTATTGTAACCAGTGCTACAAATACAGTGCAAATGCAAATACTCAGGTCCAGCAGACAACAGTGACAATCCAGCCAGTGACACACCAGAGTTCCCACCAAACTGCGACTTATTATTGCCAAAACTGTAAGACAAATAAGTAAAATACAGCAGAAGACACAAGAGCTTCCTTAGCCGAAGCACTCCAGTTGTGTGTCGTAAAAATAAACTCTAGCAAAAAGGATATCTGGCAGTGCTTTGGCTGGAACGTACCATGCTAATGCAGATGGCATTGTTTTCCAGATGTTCTTAGTCCCACTGTAAGGAAACAAGGTCCTGATCTGTAATACATATCAGCTTGTCAGTAACACAAAAATATGAAGGGATATGCAAGACTCAATTAAAGCAGCATACTGGAGTTTTTGCATGTTTTCTTTTCAGTGTATTTCACTAAAGACTGAAAAACTGCCTAGACCGAGGTAATCCATCCCAGTAAACATTATGATTAGTCAAAGTTGTGTTATTTTCTTGCTGTAATAAAGCTGAGACTGATTAATTAATTTGAAAACTGTTCATCAGAGGTGCACACAAGTGCTTGTGGGATGCTCTACTTTGTCTTAGAGTAGGCTGCCAAACAACACACACACAATCCTTTTTGCAATGTCTACATTAGCTTCTTGGTGGACTGTCCCATAAGCAGCACTTTAACACACTAAAATGATCAGTTTTCAAATACATTACAATTCAGTGATAACATTACACATTAACTCCCTAAATGGTCTCTAATGGATCTCACACAAAAATTATTTATATACTGTATGGAAAACAAATTGAGTGAGTTTCGAGAACAGTGGTTTCTCAAACTTTTTGATGTGAAGGACCCCTAAACTGACACAAATTAGGGCAGGGACCCCAGTTTGATAAGATTTTGTCTCAGGGTCCTCCATCTGATGAAATTTTTAGAGGTCTAATTAGAGAGAAAATAGGCATACATTCTGTCATTGTGTTACTTATGAATGGAATTATAGTGAAAATAAATTATTCCCTTCTTGCTGGGGACCCCGGGTACCTTTTCATGGACCTCTGGAAGTCCCCGGACCCCACTTTGAGAAACACTGATCTAGAATATAGCAGACATTTGAAAATCTGAAAGGAGCTATAATTTGCTTAAGTTAATGGTTGGCAGTAAAGTATGTGATTTATAGTGAAAAGGCTAAATAAAACATGCAAAAACTCTGGTATGGTCCTTTAAAAACTATTTTCCTTTAACCCTTGATGTTGATGCGGATAAATGAAATCATTAAACCAATTAAACAAACAGCGTAGATATAACAACAAGATGTTCTAAATGCTGAGTGAATTAACTAGTTAATCAACAAGAACTTGAGATACTTCAAAACGGTCCGCTCTCTAACCCTTCAAGGCAAACAAAAAAAGGCAATTGCTGATGACATTCAAAGTGAACCTCAGGCTTTGCTGGCCTGCTGTGTGTAGCCCTCTGTGATGCTGTCCTCCTCCACCCTGACTCGCAGGTGTTCCTGACAGTGTTCTAGGAAAGAGTCCAGTGCTGAGAAGCCCTGCTGACAGGGCACACAGTGGTACAGCCTCTGCCTCTTTGAGCTGGGCCATTTACAGGTGTCCATCTCGTGTGTGCACACACTGCACTGCCTCCTCTTGATGGAGGACTGGTGAAGCTCCATGTGTTCCCTCAGCTGCGACTGCAGAGAGAAAACCTCTGCACAGGAGGGGCATGGGAACTCTCTCTCCTCCTCCTCCTCCTGTACTTCAGGCACTTCCTTGCATCTCCCAGGATCACTGACCTTGGTCTCTAATCTGGCCACTTTCCTGGGCCTCCCTGGACCAGCCCTAACAGTCTTATTATCTGCTAGGCTGGTTTTTGATTTATTTGGTCTATTTTCTGATAAGTTGTAGTCTTTGGTGGTACATCCTACAGACTGACTTTTGTTTTTGATTGTGGTGAAGCTTGAGGCTGTGTGCTGTCTGTAATGTGCCCTTAGGGACAAATGATGGAAGAAAACTTTGCCACAGAACTGACATGGATATGAGTCTCTTCTTCTGCGCTTGCTCATGACTGGTCTTGGTTCTCTCCTAATGTTTTTCTCTCTGCTGTGCTTCTCTTTTCTGTGCACATAGAGCTTAGAGGTGCTTCTGAAAACCATGTCGCAAGAGCGACAGCTCAGAAACTTCTTCTTGGATTTTGGCCTTATATTTGGATCTCCATTCACACTGGTATTCTCTCCTTTCCTTGTTTCTCCACCAGTACATTCTCCTTTGGTCTTTTGTCTCTGTGGATCCATCAGCCGCTCCTCGGTGTGGTTAGTCTGTTCATGGCGTTGCAGTCCAGCCTCAGTGCGGAAGGTCCTTGGACAGAATTGGCACACGCTGACAGCTCTGCTGCTGGGCCCTGGGGTGTCTGAACAATCAGAGCGGGTTGAGTCTCCCTCAGAAACTGGAGGAGAATCATCTGGAAGGCTGCTGGCATCAGCTATATCTGATGGGGATGGTGGTTCACTACAACCAGCCTGCTGATGGTGCAGCAGAGCCTGCTTCTGGCTAAAGCCTCTCCCGCACGGGGCACAAGCATAAGGGCTACTGTCCAGGAGGTGAGGCTGGCGGTGAAGTGACTTGTCCTGCGGCCTGCTAGGGTCTAAGGTGTGAGTTGTACATGCAGGGCAGGGAGAGCTGAGCCGTGAGTCTCCATGACAAAGTTCACACTGGGAGGAATCACGATCGCACTGATGTAGCTGTAGGGACGACTTCAGGGAGAACTCCTGCCCACAAGAGGGACACCGGTGAGGTTTGGGTAATGTGTGTTTTAGTTCCTGGTGATGCAACAGATCTGCTGCATAAGGGAAGCCCTTACCACATTCTGGACAAACATTTGTGGGCAGGTGGGAAGGTCTCGGCCTCTGGTTCCGTGTTTGCTGTTTGGTGTCAGCCCGTGCGATGAAGCTGGCAAGCCTGGACAGGGTGTCAGCTGTCGTCCTGGAGCGGCTGAACGACTCCGGGGCCCTTGTGGTGCTCCAGCTGACTCCATCCATCCTCCTCTTTCACCAAGCTCCTCTCCTGCTTCAGTGGAGACAGAGGTTTAGGTCATGAGCTTGGAAAATACAAAATTACAAGAACCAAAATAAGAGGTTAAAACATTCAGCAGTTTATTGTATTTAAACTGAAAGGTACGGAGCTACTGTTGCCTGACAGAGAAGTGCAGTCAGCTGCTAATCAAGTTTGAAATGGAAACGAGAAGCGTGCCTTCTTGTTAGCTTGTTCCTTTTTCTTACAAACGTATTATCAATTATCGGCAAAATAATCAGTTAAATAACAGCTAAACAGCCAGCAATCCTTTTAGTGAGAAATCTGAGCTACATGAGCTCACAAACGTTACGCACCACAGACTGGCTTCGTGTTTGGCTAACGGTAGCTCGTAGCTAGCTGCGCTAACAGGTTAGAAACGCTCACTTCCCTTCGCTAAAGCAGCTTTACCTCGGCGCTCGGACAGAGGCGGTGCGGCTATTTCATCCCAAACAGGCTGCAACCCGGGCGGCGCGTCGTGTTTACGTTTAGCTTCATTACCACAAAACAAAATGACATGGCTGCAAAAGTGAAACCGAAGTTTGTGTGGGGTTGGTGGGGGGTACTTCCAAGTCGCAAACTGACCTTACGTCACCCATTGGTTTGTGAGCTGCCGTTTTGAAGCGTCAAGTTTGGCTTAATGGACGTCGCCATCTTGGTTTTTTGGAGCCAGAAGAAACCATATTTGGATGAAAAGGTGGAGCTGGGGAGGAGTGAGGGGTGGATCTGACCCGTGTCCTCGAGGACACCAAGTACGCCCACCCGCATCGGCAAACTGACGGCAACAGGCTCCTGACTGAGACGTGCGAAGATGCTGCTAACACGGTTAGTTTTCACAAATCGAGGTAAACTAACTGTTAAATTAGTCTTATAGGCTAATTGCATACATCCAACATCCATTTGGCAAATATCATATATGTGAGGAGTAACTTAACTGATGTTATAGTAGTTGAAGTTAGCATGTGTGCTAACGTTAAACTGTAAAACCATAGTGTAAAACGTATTCTACTCTTGTGTTTTAAATTGGTTCTGCAGAACATGAACAGACTTCAGAACAGTTTCTCCCTCAAACCGTGAGTCTGCTACAGGTAAACTGTGTCACACACTAAGACTGATGATGAGTAACGGCTCCTGGACTTTTTGCACCTTACCTCCATCACTCATGGACAGCTGCAATAGCTTACAGTCCTGTCAATAGACTGTTGCACTATCCTTACTTAGCTATGAAGTATTAATTTTAAATGTCTACTATAATTTATACTTGTTACTAAATAAGATTTATCCACCTCTCTTTATTATGTAAACTTGTCTTGTGATGGTGAAGTTCACCTGTTCCTTCATTCACAACTGTATTTTATTTTTAATTTGTCAGTTACAGTTGATTGTAAATAGCACACATTATTTAATTCATCCATGTATTACTTTATTTTGTACATCTCTCCAGTGGTGTAAATTGTTGAAATTAATGCAGTTTTAATGTGAAATAAAGTTTTTTATGAAGCTTTGCTTTGTTGATGGTTTTTATGGAGCGTGTCTGGTATGAATTTTAACAGTAGCAGCACGGTATAGAAATTACACAATACACCGAAGTTTTTCCTGAATTTGTAATTAATCACAAGACTTTCTATTTTGAACAGCTGGTCTGTCCTCTCATCAGAGGAAGCTGAACAGGAAGTGGTTTTCTAGCATTATCATTATCATCATCATCATCATCATCATCATCACAGCTCATTTGAAAACTAAGGATGTCCATGCAGTCTCCTTTGTCCATAAATGAGGTCCCCGTCTGTTGGCACCAGTCATTCAGTTTTCAGTGTGGATACCTTTGAATGAAAGTAAAAGACAAACACTTTAGTTCAGACATGGTGGATCACAGTTAATCACATACCAGCTGTCAGGACAGGTGCATGAATATCTGCTTCAGTTGAGGACTCCAGTGTATGAATTTACAGTATTAAATGACAAACCCCTACAAGATAATGTTCTAGTATACATTGTGTATTGTACTAAATACAATAAGATACCAGCGAGAAGAGGAGACAGAAAATAAGTTAATGAGATAAATATTGAATGTTTTGCTGTATGTAGGAAAATTCTGTCACCGACTGATTTTTTCTAATAACACGAGAGTGAGTTAATTGTTAAACTATATTTATCCTTGTCCTGCAAATGTTTGCGTGTTTGGGACCAGGTATGGTTAGCATAACAAACACTAAGTTATCCGCTAGCTAGCTAGGTTAGCAAAGTGCATCCGTGATTCACATTAACTCTAATATTAATTTGGATGTTAACTGTCTCCCTTTCTCCGGTCAAAGCAAGATTAGAAAACACACTAGCTTTTAGGGAGCATCATACACATTAAAACTGTAGGACGTTCAGAAAATAAACATTTACTTACCGAAAAAAAACTGTATATCAGCGTCTCTCCAGACTGTTAGCGCCGAAGAATGAGCCATAATTACTGTGAACCGAAAACTCATTAAAACTAACAGCAAAACTGTCAATGCAAAATTCCCACTCCACCGACAAATATTGAGAAATAATACAAATTTAACACAACTGATTCAATACGATGCACACATGAGCCAAGCTCTCCTCCGGTGACTGCACCCTACAGTTCACACTTTCAAAATAAGAGTCTCAAGAAGGTAAGAGGTAAGGTAGGTCATAAAAGTTCCATCTTAGAAGTTATCATCTATATGGGGATATAGTGGTATATCTTTGGTATCAACTTCTGTTAGGGCGTGTGTGTGTGTGTGTGTGTGTTATTTTGGCCAGTCAAAAGGCTTTTTGAGGGACACCTGCAGTGACTGAGGTCAGTGTCAGGATGAGTCTCTACAACATGAAAGGAACTGAAAGTAACGTCCTTTTTGCAGATTGAAACGTGAGGAGTGAAGTACACGCACCAAGCAGCAGGCACATTCAAAATATCTCCAGGAATTAGTATTATCTCATTTCCAAGAGGTAATTTTTCCTCTGTAATTTTTTTAATTGAGCTTTTTTTTAATTGAGCTGCTGTTGTGTTTATTTCTCTCGTTGATTACTTGGATTTTCTGAAATAAAGGAGAAAAAAAACAGTCTGTACACATATCAAAACATAAATTCATCTTGGCACTTGTATAACAATCGTTTAATATAAACAGAAAGTTAACATACAGCAGGTACTGTAATAATTGAATAATTATTCCTTTAAAAGCCTGAAGCCAGCACTGACTATTGAAGCACAGGTTGTATTAGCCAGATAACGATTGGCATGTTATTGTTGAAAAAACAGCAGGAACACTTCTGGAACAAATCAACACATTTTCATTTTGTCAACCTTTAGTTATCAACATCATGTCTGAGGACACGCGACCTTTACATGAACACAGCATGGAGTGAACAACACCATCGTGGCAGGGAAACAATCAGTCATTGCACCTGAATGAAGAAAAACTACCACAAGGCTAAGGGTATACTGTAACTCTAACACTCACAACATGACATGTTTCAGGTGAGCAAAACAAGGAGTACAGGTGGCTCAATAATGCAAAAACCGACAATGAATGAGCTATAAACATAGATATAAGATATAAAAGGTAAATGAAAGTAAGACTTTTCCAAAAATAAAAAAAGGTCTACTTCAGTACCACAGTGTCTTTAGTAGCATTTCACTCAATATAATGCCATGAAGTAACTCAGACTTCAATCTATGGTTGAAACAGCGCATTTCAGAGGGACTGGATAATTTCTGGACGTGATTTAAGACTTTTCATGAAAGATAAATTTCTTGTAGTTGACAATAACCAGGATAACAGCCAGGCATCTGGTCCACAGTGATTTTAAATCCTGATTTTCACATGAAGCAAATGACTGAAGCAAAACCCCTTATACACAGCTAATGGTAGGAATGACTGAGTGTACCAAAGGCTAATGTTTGTGATTCTTCAAACATACATTGTGTCATAATTATCACTGGTAATGAAGGTAGATGAGTCATAGTAGCACGCACACACAACAAATGCAGTTACAAATAAACACAGGAGATATGAGAGCACCCTAACCTGAACCTGAAACAAATATAAAACACAAGCATTAATGACAAAGCATTGATCCATGTTACATTAAAAGGATGGAGTACATTACAAATGCTCATAACAAAGGCATCATCATGTATTCTGAGCTGCACTGTGTCCACAGGTAGGATGGTGTGACTAAATGTCTTCCAACAAACATTGACAGGGGCACTTCCTCAATTTTAAAAAATATCTCAATTATTATTTAACAATTATGCTAAACTGAGGAAATGGAACATTTTTATTACTTGTTATAATATGTAGTTTTTACAGTGGCCACAGGTTTCTAATTAGATACTTCACAGACTATCATAAGATCATTTGTAAGACATCTATTCTCTTTGTTATGCATAAAAACTGAGTTTTGGGAAAATCAACACAGTTGCTACTGATCTCATCTTGTGCCACAATCTCTAACTAAAACTGTATTTCAATTGTCTAAAATATAATAAAAGTTAGATTCATCTAAGTCAGTTCCAACATGAAATTATATCTCTTTCAACTGACATATGAACAGGGACATTAATCCAGAAGTTCTCACATTTTCCTGATCTATTCAGGGGCAGTAAAAATATTACTTTTACCATTGTTGACATATGAACTGAACCTAAGAGCCTCAGAGTTTTTCCAAACAATCTTTCCCAATCCCAAAAACTCTTCAGGACCAGGTAGGCAAACTGATACCAGACCAGTTTCTCCACCTTCAACCAAAACAGTACCTACTATATGCTACTCTTAGGTATTTTACCTAAATACAAACCAAAATATCAGAACTGGCAACTAATTAAACTGACTGATTGAGGCCAAAACTCGGGACTTTGATGAGCTGATTGTACAGTGCAGATTTGGTAACCCTGAACCAAAATATACTGTATGTCTACTCACAAACAAGCTCTCTTATCTGAAAAAGTGGGGGAAACCCGAAGTCCAGTGTCAGACTAAATCAGTTTGAAAAGAGACAAGGTTGTTGTTGCCTGGCTTAAACCAATTATTTCTTTCCTTGTAAAACATCTACTAAAACAAATCTGCAAAAAAATAGAATCTGTAGATACCATCTTTCACTAAGAGGATGATTTCACAAACATTCATCATCCCTTTGTATCACAGCATGTACCTCTGAGTGTACACTCCACTTGAGAGACAATCAATGTTGCATGACCAAAAACAGTACAAGTAAACCAAAATGGCATAGCTGTGGTTATTCATACTGTAACAGTCCACTGATACGGTGCAGTGCGTCGACTGCAAATAGTCTCATAATTACTGAGCTCTACGGCTGCACCATAAACCCAAATCCAGTGTGTGATACTCGGCGGACTTCATTTTCACAGGATAAGTTTAGTGGCTCTGAGATAACACCCTGCAGGTCTCCTGGAGCTGCACTTGAATACATCAGTCTCTTCCAGGTCACCGCAGAGACAACACTTTCTGGCCAGAGCATCTCAGACAGTGTGAGTCCATCCAGTCACAGTCTGGTTCCATCTGGAGTTTAAAAGTACTGTGTCTGCTGTGATGTGGACGCCC